GGTAGTCAGTACTCGGTGATTCAAGTCTCGAGACTCGAGGACTTGTGATTCACAAGTCAAAATTTGAAACTAATGTGTAGTATCTTATGTATTTCTGTACTCATTTCACTGACTACCGAGTGCCGAATCTCGGGTCTTGGGTATCAGGTCTCGGTACTCGGTACTCGGTATTTCCAGATGACAAAAATGTATATCATCTTAAATTTGAATTTTCTTAACTCGTAAAAATGTATGACTTTCCAGTTGGGTTTTGAATTTTGAGTTTTGAGTCTCTTGAGTCCCGAGTCTGGGTGTTCAGGGCTCGGGTTTCAGGTTTTGGGTTTTGGGTTTTGGGTTTTGGGTTTTAGTACTTGGTACTTGATATTACCCGATGTCGGCCCACCCGTCTATCTAATATGACCCCACGTCGGCCCACCTGTCTATGTAATAAATAATTCACCTCACCCTCGGCCCACCCGTCTATCTAATATTACCCCACGTCGGCCCACCTGTCTATGTAATAAATAATTCACCTCGCCCTCAGCCCACCCGTCTATCTAATATTACCCCACATCGGCCCACCCATCTATGTAATAAATAATTCACCCCACCCTTGGCTCACCCGTCTATCTAATATTTCCCTACGTCGGCCCACCCCATCTATCTAATAAATATTTCACCGCTCCCTCAGCCCATCCGTCTACAAAATAATACTGATACGTCGGCCCACCCGTCTATATAATACTATTTGCTATACATCTCTCCTCAGGTCTATAATATATGTCAATCCTACTCTACATATTACCCACATGGGCCCACCCATCTCCATAATAATATTTCTCCTGGCCCATCTGCTATCATCGATGATATATATAACATCAGCATAGATGGGCCCACCCGTCAACATCAGGTATATACATAACATCGGCCCATAATCCACTGGCCCGTATTACACGGGATATTATGTAGGTCGGGTGACCCGTATAATACGGGATTTGTCACTGAAGGGGCTCGTTGTGTCTGCATCGCATGACAACCATGTCCGTCTCTGGCGGCTCTCAGATCAACGAACCATCACCATCTTCAAGCACCCCTCCCCGCAGAAATCTGTCACTTTCTCTGTGGACGGCAAGCACATCTCCAGTGGAGGGCAAGATAAAAAGACTTCAGTGTGGGAAATACCGAAGAGACCATCCTTCGTGCAGATCCTGGCCATCATGACAGCCCACAATGCATGCATCGCTGGGGACCTGGACACCACTGAAGAGCTACTCACCAAGAGATCCACACCGACACCAATGACTATACTTCATATTCCCATCGCTCATTCATCAGGAAATCATGAGTTTACTTTTTCGACTTTTTTCAGCTTTTTCTTACTTCAACCACACTTATATTAGTAGCAGGGACTGAAATAAGTAGAAAAGGAGAAAAGCACTCGAAAAGTTGGCACTAAACAAAAAAGTTGACACTGCTCGAAAAGCATGTATTACACAAAAAAGTCGTAGTAATTCTACGGATCTGCAGGTACTTATACTCTCGGATAATTTGAACATGCGAACATGCACTGGAGCCGGTGACCCACATTCAACGAGCGACCTGAGCATGGTCACGATATTGAGGGCCCCAGCAGCATCATGCCATCATCATCCACATCTAAGCTCGTCCCATCAGCTCCGAATGTCCATGACTAACCCGCACACCAGCGTCACCATTCCTTCCTAGTACTCCTTCAAGTCCAGGTGGCATCAATGTGCTCGCATGCATGTGAATGATGTCCTGGATATTAGTACAGGTAGTGAGATATAGCACTGGCAGACAGTGGGAGCAAGGGCCAGAGACAGAAAAGTTGCACACTTTGCGAGTAGAATTAACTGAAGGATAGGACAGATTACTCGAGTTATGTGTGAAGGTCTTGAGTCAATGACGTGCAAGACAAATGATTAAACATTACAGGCGTTCTGCTGAGCCTGAATTGGTATCGGAGTTTGCCGATCGCTGTAACAATTTTCTCTAAGTTCGAATCTTTTATTCTCTACTCTTAACTAGTCGGATGTCTGTTAAATCTACTCCCAAGTCTCACGTTCAACTCGGACTCCTCCGCTGCTTCCTTCCAAGGTCACAGCCCTTGACCAGAAGACCGACACGACGACACGAACGCACTAGCCCAGAAAAAACTGCGGAGAACCTGATTGTGGACCATGAACTCGAATGAGGTGAACACTAACCCTGAGTGATGGACCACGAAATCGAACAAGGCGAACGCTAATCCCAAGTGATGGACCACGAACTCGAACAATGTGAACGTTAACCCCGAGAATTCATTTGATAGACCGTAAACTCGAATGACGTGAACACTGGCCCCGTCGCAAACTCGACCACGACAATTTGATGGACCTCATCACAGCTCCCTTGATTTTTAAACGAACGCAGTCCCCATGTTCACGAGTTGCTGGCATATAGGTATAAATCTTCCCGCTGGTCTACGCCCTCATGCTTGTCTGCTTTTTTCTACACTTCATCTACTTTTTTTTGTTGGTGTAGTAAATTTTTTTGATGCAATCCTACTTTGTTTTCTGCGTAAAAAAGTGTGAAACAGTTGGGAATAAGTCACAATTGAGTAGAGGGATCTACTGAAAAAGTAGTGTATGCTTGTCCGCTTTTTCTACACTTCATCTACTTTTTTTCTGCGTAAAAAGTGTGAAAAAAGTCACAATTGAGTAGAGGGATCTGCTGAAAAAAGTAGCTTTTACTTTTTTCGCCTTTGCAGGGCTAGGCAGGGCATCGTGCAAAAAGTAGCTTATAAGTTTGTTATAAGTGGCAAAAAGTAAGCGCGTGATTTCCTGATGTTCGTTATGGCACGAAAACACCCATGGGACCTCGCACTTGATGATGCAATCAAGGTGAGCTATACTGACTTATCATGGCCCCCTCACTAAAAGCTCACTTTCATTCGTGACATAGTCCATCAGCATTCAGCCATCATTGATAGGCTACATCTCGAAAGGCATCGCCCTCTGCGGAAAAGGCCACATCCGGGAGGCAAGGGCAGCATTCGACGTCGCATCCATGTTCACCAACCAAGATTCAGAAAATAACCATTTTCTTATCTTGATCAAGGTGCATTGCATTCATTTCCCATGTTCTCTGCTTCATTGCGTGTTCCAGGCCATTGCCCTCTTCAGCGCAGATCAACACGAGGAAGCAATGTTACTCATCAAAGAGCTGGCTGCCGCTTGTCCGAATACCGATCCTCTCGCGTGTCGCGTCGTGGAAGTAAGTGTCATGCAGCTTCGCCTGGTTATCGATGCTGATCTTTGCAACTCGCACATTAGACATATCTACGCGTTCAGCTGGGAATAAAAGCCTTGGATGACGCGCGTCATGACGAAGCTGCTCACCATTTCACTGTCGCTGTTAACTCAGGCACGCTCTCAACGAAATACATTCATGAAGTATACGAGGAATTGACCGTGGTGCGTCAAGATGATACATACATAGTGCTTTTCATAACTGAGTGCTTTGTCCAGCTCTTCGGCTGGGATCTCGAGTCTTTGTGTCTCACTACTCACCAGAAACGGTGCCAGGCATTCCTTTCGGCAGGTAAACCTGATGAAGCCCTCGAAGCTCACCAATACATGATGGACGCCATCGACGAATCTACGAGGGCCAGCTGCCTTGATTGGTCCAACGGCAAGTTTTCGGTGATGTCAGCGAGGCTACCATACTCACCTCCATTTCACTCAGAATTTAAGGGACAATGTAGTGTGCTCGCTGAGCAGAATGACCGTATTCTTGGTGTATGCACCTCCTTCCTCAACTCTTTCACTACTGACCGTTATGCAGGCGGAGATCCCGGGGCAAGAGCACGATGGCTATGATACAGAACCCAATTTCTTCCACGGAATGCGTCAAGTGCGTGCAACAGCGTATCTTCTGAGGTTCTTTCTTACATTGTTCATTACAGCATTCTCAAATTTCCCGACCACGACCTCAACGGCGCCATGGGCGTTTGAAAAGGCTGAAGCTCGCTATGACGAAGACCCCTCGATCAGCTCCCCTGCTACCACCACCACCTGCACCAGCACCAGCACCTACACCTATCACCCCACCATCAACCGCCGCTCCTACCACCCTCACATCTCGGCTAGGAAACCTATTCCCCTGGAGGTCCGATCATACAATGCTGCCCGTCGTCAATGTTCCGTTCGCGAAGGGTAAAGAGGTGCAATGGGTCGATTTTCATAAATGTGTCTTGGGTGCCTAATAAGTAATCTACAGCGTAATGCTGCTGCGGATGCTCCTGGCAAAGACCCCGACATCGTGCCTTATGAGGATCAAGATCTCGATACTACTCAACCGGATCCCAATACACAACAGCAGCAACAGCCAGTCGCAGTGCAGGTAGACACCGGGGAACATGGACGCGGACGGTCGTGTTGCTGCTGCTAGAGGAATTGGCAGATGTCCGCGGTTATTTCAGTTTTACTGTCGATCTTGTTATGATATCTACACTGCTGTTTTATCGATAGCTAATACCCATTCATCCGAAATGTTGTCCATAACAGTTACTAAATTGATTATCAGAAACAACGACAGGACGATCTAGCGAAGACTACGAATGAGCGCTGAGAACTCGCACAGCTCCTCCAGTTGCCCACAGCTCCGACATGATATTCAACCATCCCGCACAGTGCTTGGAGTCTGAGTGTCGAACAAATTGAGATGTGAATAGATTAGTAGTATACTTGACTGTATAGACAGGACCTTAGCTTCGGGACTGTAAGTAGCCAACAGAACAGTAGTGAATGAAATGGGATTACAAAGGGTTTCTAGTATCGGTGGCAACGCATGCGCAGACGCCACACTCCTTTATAACTGGTACACAAATAACTATGGACTTCGAGGTGAAAGCGACAATTTGGCCTCTGCGGGGAGGAACGTTGGGGACACTCGAGTCTGACGTATGGCTCCGTAGTAGCGGAGCCACGCTGGTAATGAACAACACCATTATACGCCTGAGCCCAACTTCCGGAATTCTCGTCTGAAAATCAATCGTACATGGCTGCTCATTCGGGAGAATGCCATCCATGAAAGGCACATCATCCAACGGCTTCGTGCGATCCAACGTGAGCCGGAAGGCCCAAAGGACAAGCGCCGTGTTTATGAACACCGAGCTATGCTGACGTTCACAGGAACACATGGGCCTATGGATGAACTGTGTGACCTTACCTATTCGCAACATGTTGTCCGGGACACACTCTACAAGTAAAGAGGATGAGAACATGACCAACCGCACAAAGATGGTGCCTACCGCTGACCAAAACCGAATACAAAGAACTTGAGGTCATCTCTCACGCGCCCTTCGGTATCAAGCCAACGATCAGGCTTGAATGCGTTAGGGTCTGGGAAGACGTCTGGATCGCGAGAGATGGCCCTGAAACGGCTATTAGATCAATCAAATTCGGAAGGAAGGCTCTAACCAGCGATTGCCAAATACTGTCACATGGAACACGATAATCTTCCTGTCTGTACTGTCAGATCTAGCTTCTAGAGGATGAAGGGTGCCCACAAAAACAACTACCTGTGTCGTGCGGTGTGGCATACCTTCATGCAGGTAAGCTATAGACATCAGCTAGAAAGACGGGAGGTAGTTACCCATGGGTACCAACGGCCTCCATCGCAGGGCCTCCGAAACAAACGCATGAAGGCGAGGAAGTGATTTCTTGTCAGTGAATGTAGGTGCTAGAGTGAATCAGCTCTTAGACCGATGCCCCAATAACACGCGATCAACCCGTAGACGTCTGGATCGCGAGAGATGGCCCTGAAACTGCTATCAGATCAATCAAATTCGGAAGGAGGGCTCTGACCAGTGATTGCCAAATACTGTTGTCCCGGCTGGAACACGATAATCTTCCTGTTTGTACTCAGATCTAGCTTCGACAGGACGACGAAGGGTGCCCACAAAAACAACCACCTGTGTCGTGCGGTGTGGCATACCTTCATGCAGGTAAGCTATAGACATCAACTAGAAAGACGGGAGGTAATTACCCATAGGTATCAACGGCCTCCGAAACGAAGGCATGAAGGCGAGGAAGTGATTTCTTGTCAGTGAATGCAGGTGCTAGAGTGAGTCAGCTCTTAGACCGATGCCCCAATAACACGCGATCAACCTACCTCTGTCGGTCCCGATGACCGCGTCCAGCTCTTCATGAACTTTACGTTGTTCCTCAGGGAAACAAGCAGCTGCCGCTAGTACTGTGCATATGGCAAGAGTAGTCTATAACACCTGAATCTAGTTAAATTCAAAAGCGGTGATGTAGTATGAGCTCACCGTGTCGGATCCAGCTGCAAAGACAGTACCAGCTCTATAGGTAAGCTATCTCCAGCTCAGGCCTTGCGTTCAAACTGTTCTTTTCCAAGAAATATCTTCCAAGCGAAGGACTAGCTTCGCCACCTCCCTGCTGTCGAGCATTTTAACATGCTATTGAATTGGATTATGCATACTTACTAACTCCTGTTTGAGACGACCGAGTTGCTCTATGAAGAGCTTCCGCGAATCTCGACAGCTGTCACGTAGTTCTTGCGCATACCAAGGAAGATATTTCAGCCACGTACGAGCACAGACAGGTAATTCAAAAGGTAAAGAAAACGCAGCTATACCTCCTCCATCACAAACTCAGTCGCACGCCCACTGGAAAACAGGCATCTCGACAAGTCAGGTTTGACAAAATTCAGCTTCTACAGATCTCACATGCTTACATGCAATGGACAGCGGGGAGCAACACTCGGTGAGACGCCCCTTCCTTCTGCACCCAGGTCCATCTTCGAGTGCATCTCCAAGAAAGACCAAGAACGCATTAAGAACATCGTTGCAAGCCGCTTTGCCCCCTTTTCCACGTCGGATGATCTCTCGCCAGGTCCCTCACTCCCCACGCCTCCCACGAAGCTGCTCTCCACGGTTTTCAGCCCTTCACAGCCGATCCATCTAAGCAGCCAAGGTACACTGCCTATCTGCGTGCACACAGGAATCCTGACTCAGGCGCAATTCTACCCTCACAGAAGCCTGGGCAGACACCGGAGGAATTCACAAAAGAGATGAGCGACTATGCAAAGTCAGCTGCGTTATTCCGCCCCGTTTCTAGAGTCATGGCT